GACACACTCAGCCCAGTCCACGGGGATTCAGCGGGACACCGACACACTCAGCCTGGTCCACAGGCTATGCAGCGGGATGCCGACACACTCAGCCCAGTCCACAGGGAGTTCAGTGGGACACCGACATGCTCAGCCTGGACCACAGGATGTGCAGTGGGATGCTGACATGCTCAGCCTGGTCCACAGAGGACTCAGTGGGACCACTGACATGCTCAGCCCAGTCCATGGGGGCCTGGGTGGTACGCTGACACGCTTATCCTGGTTCATGGGGAACACTGTGGAACCATGCCCTAGGAGGAGATGTGGGTGTCCCCATAGGTATTCTCTGTATCACAGGCAGACACAGAAGTGGGAAACCCAGGGAGGAAGTGGAAAGAGTGCTGTTACATTATAGGGATTGCAGTGAATGTCATACAACAAAACATGTATGACTTCTTGATCGGAAAACGAATTGCTTTGTAAACTTTCACCCAAATCACAACAAATAATGATCAAATTTAATCTCAGCCATGGGAATCAAAGAAAAAGGGTAGGTGTGGAGTGTTCCTCTCCCTGCTGCTTGTGTTCTCACATGATGCTGTTCTTGGAGCCCCCATGATCAGAGCATTGGATTTACCACAACCTGTCCATGACTGCACATGTCCATGGTGTGAGGCCAGTGGGTTATCCGGCCCGCCCTCCCTGCCCAGCACTCTACTGCAGTGACCGTGTGCATTGTCTTCTCATGCACATCCAAGTGCCTATGAGAGGATGTTCCTAGACGTGCTGGTGTCTGCACTGTGAGGAGGGCATGGCTGCTATTTCCCGTGATGCCCCCGTGGGAGGAGGGCATGGCTGCTGTTTCCCATGACACACCGTTGTTGAACTGGAAACTTGCAGCCCTGGCTCCATTGCATCTGCCGGTCACCATAGTCACATGCTGCCTATGGCCCCTTGTCTTGGGTAGCTCACGTACTGCTCTTGAAGGAATCTGTGTGTCCCTGTGGGGGTCACGCGTGGAGCTGTTTGCTTCAGTCACAGAGACTAACTGGAACCTTCCGTCAGCATCACCATCTACGTCCAGTGTCTGCACAGGCTCTGTTCTACCCTGTGGCCAACTTGGTCATTTAGTAAATACCCATGTACAGCCTCAGGTGGCCCCTGTGTGGTCCTTGGTGTTTTGAATCCATTACACATGAATTCAGTGCTTTTAAAGGAAACCCCAGGCTGTGGTTCTAACAAAGTGGTCCCTGGTTCATTGTATCCACAAGCAAGAGTCTGGCACACTGGCCTTCGGGACACTCCCTAGGTCACACACTGTGCTACACCCACTCGTGTGTTCTGCACACCAGCTTCTGCCTGCCTGGAACACAGCCAGCTCTTGCTTCCAGGTAGAGATGTTACTTCAGTCTGTGCCATGGGCACACCACAGAGCCGTCCTGAGGTTTGCTGCCTCACCTAGAGAAGAGCAAGTAGACGGCAGGATTCAGGTGGGAGCATGTGCAGAGTCTTAGGGTGCCCAGCACCCTAAGGTGGGGGTCCCTAGAGACTCTGGTCCCTCTGCCGGAGAGCCCCTAGCTGAAGTGCCCAGGTTGAGGCCACCCTCATAATCACTGAGACTCAGAGGGGGCTTGCCTGGCCCCAGTGGCTCAATCCCCTGACCTACACATGGCTGTGCTTTAGAGCAATCGCAGCAAACGGGTGCTCAGTGGACGTTGAAGGGCAGTCTGCATGGGACTTGGGGTCTCAGGACGCGAGCAGCATCCTTGCTTTGTTTCTTTGTTTTTATTAAACTGTGTGAGTAAACCGAGTTACAGAAACAAGAGCCTGCTCTCCTGGGGTGGCAGAGGGCGGAGAAGCTCTGCACGCGGTAGGGGCAGCGTCGTTCGAAGAGAGACCGATGGGCCTGGGAAGGTGAGGTGTTGGACCCATCTCTGCAGCTTGCTGTTGTGGCCTCGGACCGAGCCCTTGATTTTTCCACACCTCCACTTCTCACTGCCACCTCGGTTCACCTGCACCGTCAGGGCGAATGCTGTGACAGGGAGCCTGGGTGAAGTTGCCAGGGCTGTTGGAGCCCTCAAGCATGCCGTCGAGGTGAGCAGGGCAGGTCTCTGTGGAACCAGAGTCCAGGGCGAGGGTCTGTGGAGTTGCTGTTGCTAAGGAGCTTGCCAGCGGCCTTCCAGACCACTGTGGGCTCTGGAGTCCTCAAGCAGGAAGGGTGGGCGCTTTACTTAAATCCAGTTTTACTTTATTTTGATGTATTCGACTTGGGCGATTTGTGGAATTGGAGATGAGAAACATAGTGTCCTGAGTGTGTGGCGGATTGAGCTTTGTTTCATGCATTCTGCGGCATCTTCTGCCTGCTGTAAGGGTTTCTTTCATTTCTTGCTTAGGCTCATGCTGCACACTGTGGTTCATCAGGAAGTCCTACACAGAGTCTGGTTTCCATTCCTGCACGTGTCTGGTTTTCCTGTGCGTGTGTGTGTGTCCATCGTGGAAGGACTCGTCTCTTGGTTGTGGGCCACATGAGCCACAACTCCTGTCCAGCCTTTACTGGGGGTGTTCAGACACTCTCCCCGGTTGTCAGAGTCGTGACACTTGGGTTCATGGGATTTTAGT